CCGTAGTTGGACACGGTACAAGCTTTGATCTTCAATATTTGGGCGTCTGTTTTGTTAAGTGATCAAGGGCCATAACTTTGGCAGTAATTATCCGAAATCGTTGAAAATCAATAGGATTCTTCGTCTCATGACCTCAAACACTGCATATAAATTTAAAGTATGGCAGTAATTATCCAAAATCGCTGAAAATGAATAGGCTTCTTCGTCGCATGACCTTAAACACTGTGTATAAATTTAAAGTCAATCGGATATTAACTTTAGTCTCTAGAGCGTCCACAAGATTTTTTGAAGTGATCAAGGGTCATAACTCAGGCAGTAATTATCCGAAATCGCTGAAAATCAATAGGCCTCTTCGTCTTCGTCTCAAGACATTAAACACTGTGTATAAATTTAAAGTCAATTGGATGTTAACTTTAGCCTCTAGAGCGGACTGACGGACGGACGGCGGCGACGACAATATACAAACCGATATTCGTTTTCATATCATATCTGACCTTCAAAACCAGGATTTGTACCCATAACAATGTTTTCTTTCACTAAAGACCACATAAAAACTCCATATAGCACTTGTCATTTGTAATATATCATGGGAAATTAACGTCTTTAAAGGACAATATTGGTGCCAGTCATTATCACATGTGCGATAGAACTGGTTAAACAGTTCCAAATATTATTTTATCACAGAGATCATTGCTACGATAGATGCGTAATCAATGCTTGAACAATCGGAAGTGACGAACGCAAAAGGAAAACACGAGTTATCCCTTTATATAACTGACTTTAGTGACGAGTGATAACAGACACATGGGCGAATTTCTGCTCACTAATAATTCTTTCGAAGACCAAAAGTTGTTATATGAGACTGTAAGATTATATCTGACAATTCAAAAGATAGGTTGCCAGGCAACAAAACATACGCCCACAGCAGCTAAATCGTCCAAGCAGTCAACAAGGGTTGTCGCATGTTTTTTCTTCTGTAGGTAATTAGGGGAATTTAATAGACAATTTCATACAGATGACATTATAATTTTCATCGTTTGAAAAACTGAAACAAGGGCCGTAACTCTGGAAGTAAACTACAGAAATTGTTGAAATTCGACAGGCTTTTTCGTTTTACTAATTCAAATAATGCATATAAATTTCATACAGATCGGATGATAACTTTTGTCGTTCGAACGTTCACAAGGTTCAACAAAGTAAAACATGGTCCATAACTCTAGAAGTAATTGATGGAAATTGCTGACATTCAATAGGATTCTTCATTTCACTAATTCAAATGATGCATATAAATTTCATACAGATTAAGTGATAACTGTTGTCATTAGAGCATTCACAAGATTCAACAAAGTGAAACAAGGGCCGTAACTCTAGATGTAATTAACGGAAATTGCTGAAATTCAATAGGCTTCTTTGTTTTACTAATTTAAATGATGCATATAAATTTCATACAGATCGGTTGATAACTTTTGTCGTTAGAGCGTTCACAAAGGTGCAACAAAGTGAAACAAGGGCCATAACTCTAGACGTAATAAACTGAAATTATTGAAATTAAATAGGCTTCTTCGTCTCACTAATGTAAACAACATATATCAATTTTAAAACAATTGGATGATAACTTTTGGCGTTAGAGCGTTCACAAGAAATTGTGGACAATGCACGGATGGACGGACCGACAGACACACAGATAAGAGAACACGAGAAAAATAGAAACAGTCCGTACATTCACGTGTGTTTATTCATTCTATACTTATAAAAACATGGTAATGCACAGACTTTTTCTATTTTTCTTTCATGTTCTCTTATCTAGTGATAGTCAATTTTTTTTTTATGAATTGTCAGATATCCTTTCACAGTCTCACATAACAACTTTTGGTCTTTGAAGGAATTATTAGTGAGCAGAAATTCGCCCATGTATCTTTTATCACCCGTCAATTCAGTCAGTTATATAGAGGGATAACTCGTGTTTTCCGTTTGCGTTCGTCACTTCCAATTGTTGAAACATTGATTACGCATCTATCGTAGCAATGATCACTGTGATAAAATAATACTTGGAACGTGTTTAACCAGTTCTATCACATACGTGACAATGACTGGCACCAATATTGTCCTTTCCCACTCGAAGTTTTGTATACAGTGCGTTAGGTTATTATTAGCACTCACTGTAAAGCATGGGACAGCCTCGACTGATTGACAAATTAATTTTTTTTACAGTATTTATTATTCTGGTCACTATATAAACTGTCTAAAAAGGAAAACAAATCAGTTTGATGTGCTGATATGATATTAAAATAGACAGGATAGTAAAATTGTTTATATTAGCACCATGCTGTGTGTTGATAAGGTCAAAGTTGACGACACACGGGTCACTGGTACCATTCAGCATGGCGTGTGTAACAAACACAGGTCATAAATTCTTTGGAAATACCGGACATGTTAAATAATCAAAATTATTTTGTATTTGAAAATCCAATGGCATGCTTTCAAATATTATGTAGGCTTTTTTTTTAAAAATCAACCTGATTTCAACTGGTGAATACATGACTTGTCAAAGCGTGCAAGGTGGAGAAAAATGTCAAGAATGAATGAATCGAGGAGGTACTAAAAATGTCTATACTGCTCTAAGTTTTATACAGAAAATCTATTGTTATGATTGAGTTTTCTGTGGAATTGGAGAAATAAATGTGGGATGTCTTACAGTTTATTTATCTATATACAACTGGCGGTAGTTTTTTCTTTGATGTCCATAGCAGTTATATCTCATAACAACCTGTCATGACGTCATCATAGGTTGATATATTCGTTCATATCAACCGCTGATGACGTCATGACAGGTTGATATTTCATATCAACCGCTAATGACGTCATCTTAGGTCGATATATTCAGCTCATATCAACCGCTGATGACATAGATGATCGAAATAAAACAAAAAACACAGAAGTTTTTTTTTTTATTCTTTTGACAATTAAAAATTGTTATGGTACAGTTTGTAACATTCTGGGCCGTAATAGACGGCGTACTTATCGGCATATTTAAATCGGTTATCCATACTCCATGTCTAAGATATCTTTCAGAATTTTCTTTCCGTCCACACCCTCCTAGACTTGAAATTATTTATCGCTCAAGAGTTCCTTTATAAAGTATTTTAAAACAGTTGGTCAAATCCTTCTCTGAACATACCGAAAACCTTCAATATGGGTTCACTGTCAGAATTATCGGAAAAGAATGCCTTTTAATCCAAATTTTCTTCAGGCTTTGGATAGATTCTCATCGATATTTTCATTCACATCTATTCCATCGTCAATATGTTGGCTTAAAAGGATTGATTATTCATCTGACTTCGTATTACTATCAATTTTGTTTTGCGTTCAATTCTCCAAAATGTTGACGTATAAACAAAAACATGAAAGTAATTGCACGTGATTAATTCGGTAATTTTCCTTATTTGACGGAAACTACTAACAGTTATCCAATCATTGTTGACTTTGAATGGAAGAACCCATTCAATCTTAGGGTGAAATGGCGTTGTATATGTAGGATATAAACCTACTCTCCCTCGGATTGATATGGTAGAGAACACTTGGGCTTCACCCTTGTGTTCTCTGCCATATCAACCTTGGGTAGGTTAATATCCTATACATATCACTAGATTAATTCACAAACCAATATAAGGGACTAGTACAGCTAAGTTATTTTTGGTAGCCCCGGGAGTCGGGCTAATGGATTTTTGCAACCCTGACCACTGGCATGTTTAAACATGTTGGGACTCTGGTCTTTCAGAACTACCACTAGAGGTTCTCTTTTTATGAATGAATTTAATTTTTTTTTTTTGTGCCTGCAGGGTAAGATTACTTTAGACTTTGTTGAATTTTGGAGACACAGTTTGGCTAAAGATCTGGACAAATACATAAAAAGACCATTGTACGTTTAAAAAGTGTCAAAGACATAAGATGGTCCTTGGCACCCGTCATTGTAGGTACGAATGTATGTCACAGATGATCTTTCAGAATTTTTTCTTAAAATTTGTTATAACTATCTTGAGCCCTATAGGCTCTCGTAAGCTTACATTACATAAAGTCTGTGTACATGGCAATGAAGTAAAAATGAACATGTATTTCTTCTAGGCACAAATACATTGAATAGGTTGTGTGATAGTATAATGGTGATAAATTTATGAACTGTTTCTATTTTATTCTTTCAATAATTCCTTCGACTTCCGTTCATTTTTCATTTATTCAATTAAACTTTCTATTATTCTTATATTTCTGTTAAAGATACATTCCCGGGTACAAACTGGGTGATTTGATGATATACTTGGACTAAAAACATATTCAACTAATTAATTTTGCTTCAAATCCTTCTTAAAACATTGCAATTGTCGGGGAATACCTTGGCTATAAAAAATCGATCAAAAGAGGTAATGTTTGTGTCACATGACTTACCTCTCTCAGTACCTAGCAACGCAAGCGAAGTCGGAGGAGAATTCATTGCATACACAAGACGATGTTGTCTTTAATCGCTGATCATTTATTACAAATATCGGCGTCTAATTAAATTTCTGGATTATCCACTGCCCATGTCTTTTTTTGTAGCTTTAATCCCTCGTTTTAATAAGACGTTAAGCTACTAATCTATTGACAGACAGTTGACAGCTGACACAATGAGTTTAATTATTACCTTATTGTTTTATTTTATTGCAATGTCTTTTATATTTTAATCTTTTCTCTTTAATTGTTATTAGTATAGTTGGGGTATATTGTTAATTCCTTAGATACTATTTTATTATAAATACTGATTTGTACATTTATATAGCATTCTAGGTTTCATCCCGTTTCCAGGACAGTTACTCTGCTTGTTGGACGTGCTGTTCTCCATATATGTTAAATATTTTCCGGTAATAAATAGTCTCATGGATAGTTCCAGTCTTTAGTTATTATCAAAGATTTACCCTGCTACAATAGTATGTGCCAAGAAGAGAAAACAGATCTATATTAAAACTCACCCACATAGGCTCCAAGTTCTACTAACTTTGCCTTTATTGCAGACTGAAAAAAAAAAATGATGAAAAGTGAACAGATTTGAGAAAACTTTAATAATTCAAAATAGGGAAATCAGAAATGCTGAGTCTACTCAAAATCTTAAATCAATATGAACAAATCAAATTATTTTCAATATGGCTCAATGAAATGAGCACAATTATAGAGGAAGGTTTAAAATAAATATGCATGCATGAACATCCACTCAACCAGATAATTCTGGAATGAACATTCAACACTTTGTCTGTGATTAGGATTATAAGATATAACTAGTGTAAGCTTAGATATTTAACATACTTAAAGTATATGAACGTTGTCACAAGGTAAAAATTTTATGGATACACAATTACCGAGTTTATAATACTATTTTTGTTGCATATGCTGTAAATACAGGGTGACACAAAAAAACCTTCATCAATAAAAATCGAATAACTTCCAAAATTTTATTTAGATTAACGCAAAAATAGCTACATTAGGTTAAGTCTATGTAGCAGACATCTCCAAAGTTTCAAGTCTGTACCACAAAAACTCTTTGTTTAACTGGCGCTCAAGAAATGTGCTCTAAATGAGCTCCCCGGTGCTGCAAGCACATTTGGATCCGGCGCGCAAAGTTCTCGATGACACTCCCACATTCTTTCCTTGGGATCGCTTTTACTGCTGCTGTGATTGCTGCCTTCAGATCAGGGATAGTCTGGGGGTTGTTGCTATACACCCTGTCCTTAAGGTATCCCCACAGATAAAAATCTGGGGCGTTCAAGTCCAGTGAATACGGCGACCACTCCGAGTCACACCTGCGGCTGATCAGTCGGTCAGGGAAACGCTGCTGTAGCCATGCCAATGATTCGTTTGAGGTGTGGGGGGTGGCACCATCCTGCTGGAACCACTGGAGGTCCCTGACAACCCCTCTCCATTATTCAAGTTTAGGTGATGAAGGCTTTTTTTGTGTCACCCGGTATTTATCTACTATTCACATATTTGTATCATTTATTTGATAAAGACGAGAGTATCCTCGCCGAAATGATGCATAATATTAAACTCAGTAATTGTGTATCCATAAAATTGTACTTTGTGTTAATATGTTCAATTACTAAATGCCTATCAAAGAAATCTATGAAATTATTGAAGGAGTTGGAAATCACTTGCAATCTACAGTCCAAAATGGTTCAATTCTGTTCAGTATTTACAAAGCTATAATGAATTAAATCAATTTGAGGACATTTTAGAGGAAAAGTTGATATTTTTATTATACATGTACATGTATTGTATATAATGCACAGAGACATTAAAAGATAAACAAGCTATCTTTGGATTGATGACTTGAGGTACAGTCATAAAATGGAATATCAAATTACAAACTTCCTGCTTTGAAATTTTGACACATCAACCCCCTACAGATTTGACTTTAAATCAATATGATTTTTGAGAACCTGATGATAAATTGGTTAATGATAAGCATGTTACATCACCACATGTCCATGCAATCTAAAATCAACCATAAGATAGGATTTGAGAACATTTTAGAGGAAAACTTGATATTTTTATTATACATGTACATGCATTGTAAATAATGCACAGAGACATTAAAAGATAAACAAGCTATCTGTGGATTGATGACTTGAGGTACAGTCATAAAATGGAATATCAAATTACAAACTTCCTGCTTTGAAATTTTGACACATCAACCCCCTACAGATTTGACTTTAAATCAATATGATTTTTGAGAACCTGATGATAAATTGGTTAATGCTAAGCATGTTACATCACCACATGTCCATGCAATTTAAAATCAACCATAAGATAGGATTTGAGGACATTTTAGAGGAAAACTTGATATTTTTATTATACATGTACATGTATTGTAAATAATGCACAGAGACATTAAAAGATAAACAAGCTATCTGTGAATTGATGACTTGAGGTACAGTCATAAAATGGAATATCAAATTACAAACTTCCTGCTTTGAAATTTTGACACATCAACCTCCTACAGATTTGACTTTAAATCAATATGATTTTTGAGAACCTGATGATAAATTGGTTAATGCTAAGCATGTTACATCACCACATGTACATGCAATCTAAAATCAACCATTAGATAGGATTGGTGCCACTAGGAACCAGTGGTACTGGCGAGAGCTTTGGCGAATGAATTTTAGAGGGTGTAATTTCGAAAATCTTCTATTTAGGGTTTTACACTGCGTACCTTGTGTGAAACACTATTGATTTTGTTCGGATTATAATTTTTAAACTTTCATATTACATATGAAAGCTTATTGTTTCTGTTAAGATTATTATTATTATTATTTTTTTTTTGTGTTTTGTCAACAAATCGGATTTCTCAGAATCTAACCATGGGATCTTCCTGAAACTATGACCTACACCCCCCCCCCCCCCAAAAAAAAAATGGGTGGTGGCTTTTGCATAAATATATTTTCGAAAAGTTTTACGAATTCGAAATCACCGAAATTTACAAACGAATCAACTGACGATGCATAGTCGTAGCTTTGTGGATTTTTTACCTATTTTATTAATTATTTTTTCTTTGAGTACCTTGACAAAATTCATTTTCATCTGCAATTTCAGATTTTCGAATTTCGAAAATTCGTCTCTGTGATTTCGCCCTGGAAGTTGAGACCAACTTGACAACTTCTTTAATATTTGCACGATTTTCATGAACTTTGGAATGAAAGTAGATCTTACTGATGCAACTTGAAAAATATTATTAGAATTTTTCTAACTTATCTCCCCTTGGAGAAATAAAGGATCAAAGTTTTAAAAAAAAATCGACAAAATATAGGTCAGATTGACTTTAATTTTTTTTTTTTTCTGTACTAGCTAAGACATTACTGATGAGTACACAAAATATGAAGTCATTCAATCGAACCGGAAGTGCCACCATCTTGAAATGGAAAAATCCCTAAGGCTTTTGCAATATTTTACTTACAGACATGGGAGTTACATTTTCTGAATCCTTGAAGGAATGCCTAAAAAACGTCAGAGCAGAATTTTGATTTCGGTCAATTTATGGTCAACATTTTTAATTGTTTATGGAAAAAAGTGAAACATCCACATTAACGGACGTGAAAATGAACACAATAGGCTGTAGTTTGAAGAATAGGTCTCCTATAATCAAAATGAATACATATCTAGATAGCCGGGATCAGGGTAAAATTTTTGATATTTGAAAATGTAACAATTTTGAATTTTGCCTTTGATGTTTTTCGTGCCAACAAAGGAGTTTAAGAGTGAAAAATCGCATGAACTCGACTGATTTTAATGATTATTTTTTCTTGCTGTGATTCTTTATACAACCCATGACATGACAGGAAGTGACCGTTAATATGAAAGATTTCATATCTGCCTGGCAGATCTAGTTATTAGGCTTTCAGGCCAATGTTCCACACTTGAACAAAAATAAAATGATAAGGAGGAAGTTCAATGCAATTTCTTTTCAATATAATTATGTTGAAGTTATTTAAATTGGGTTGATATTTTATCTGTCTTACGTTATCCCCAAAATACCAGGCGTCAAAGTTGTTGGTCATTTTTTAAAAAAAAGTTATGATTTAGCAGCCTAAATTTAATTTGCTCTGTTGTAATAAAACAGGGGTAGAAAATGATGATAGTGGCATATTTGTATCATATGAACTAGTAATAAACTGTGCAGTGTATATAATTTCTTTAAGGGTAAGTTAAAGTATCTTTCAAGCTGAAAATCGTAACAATAAATTATTGTCCGGTCTGTCACAGAATACACTGAAAAGTTTCTGTATTAACAGAACTAGGTAATATTTAAAAGTTTAACAATAATAGCTATCTCCTTCTTTATATGGCCGATTCAGAACATATAACTAATTAGATCTAATATGAATCAACAGAGTGAAAATTGTATTTTAAATGTGTCCCGTCTGTCACACAAGTTTATAATGCTGATTTCCTGCTTTAATCTGCTTTTTTTTACCTTCAAATAGTTCAAGAAGCTTGTAATAACATTGTTGAATTTTAATAGATCATTTGTCATTGAACTCTTTTTATTATTTGATAGTTCAGTTGTAATTATCAACAAACTAATTCTTCCAAAAACGTTGGGAAACCCCAGTCATAGTTGCTCCAAATTGAAATTTTTGAATTTTTAAAATGTTGATTTAGAATTGAAGATTAGGTATCTGAAGCCCTCATATCCAAATATACCAAATTTAAAATATTTATATTCGTTCAGGGCATGACAAATTACTTCAAGATTAACCATCTTTAATTGTTATTATAAATTTATTCTGATTTTTCTTTAAAGTACATGTTCCAGATTATTTTTTTTTATCATGCGAAATAATTTTTAAACAGCAATCTTTGTTCTATTATGAATTGTCTAATCAGTATTATATTATATTTGTCATATATATATGTAGTTTGTTTTAAAAAATAAATGAATTTAAACAAGTTCTGAATGATACGAAATGGTTCCAAAAACTGAGAGATAACAGTTTAGAATCATAGAATGGATTTCAAACATCAGAAGACATGTTTTCATCCCTCATCATTACTTAATCATTTCAAATAAGTTCTCTTATCCAAATTTGTCCCATTTGTCACACATACAAACTCTCACCTAAAAGTATATTTTTAACATGATTGCTCTCATCTTTGCCACAGATATGATGCTTAATTTATGGGAAACTTGACATCATTATAACAATGTAGTTTAATTTTGATTTGAGAAAGAAAATTTGTTTTGAATAAATCCATTGAAATATGGATGCAAATTAATGTCCCGTCTGTCATAGTCAATGAGACATAATGGTTAAACATCTCCATTAGAAGCATGAAATGGATTTCAAACATCCAAAACAAGTTTTCATCACTCATCATTTACTCCCAATTTCTTTATCATTTCAAATAAGTTTGCATTCTCTCTTGTCCAAATTTGTCCTGTCTGTCACAATGACTTTGTCCCGTCTGTCACGCATAAAAACTCACCCCTAAAAGTATATTTTTAAGATATTGCTCTCATCCTTGCCCCAGATATGATGCTTAATTTATGGGATACCTGACATCATTATAACAATGTAGTTTAATTTTCAATTGAGATAGAATTTTTGTTTTTAATAAATCCTTTGAAAACTGGATGCAAATTAATGCCCCGTCTGTCACAGTCATGGTTTAGGTGATGACATCTAGAGATTGTTTTACTGAGTTAAGTTTCATATTTTATATGATACTATATGTTCTCTGCTAGGAAATACCATGTTTAAATTCCCTTCTATCCTTAGTATCATATAGAGAATGGGCTTGACATTTTACATGGTCACCTATTCTGTCCCATCTGTCACGCTGGAATTAGCCTATATTGTTATTACTAAAATTATTATTTATTATTATTATTTCCCGCGGGAGCCTATTTCTCCATGATCGAGAACAGATATCGATCTGGGACCTAGTTTTCTGTTGGGAAACTGGGTGGTGGCTACTTGATAAAAAATTTTGAAACTTCTGTGCAGACCAGAAGTACATGTAGTTGAATTTGTACGGTGCCTCAAAATTGAAAATCGGCTGTAGTTTTGTCAATTCTTTACCTATTTTCAAGCAAAAAACATTTTCGGAAGCCCTGAACCTTTTCCCATAGTAATTTCACATGTTGCAATTTCGTAACTTCGTTGTTGATTTCTATCGTTCAATATTGAAAAAACATTGTTTACGAGACAATTTTTCTTATTTTTCAAAATTTTCAAATTTAACCTACATTTTTGGATAGCTGGAGTGAATCTGATCACAGTAATATAAGTTTCATTCAGAGTTATCACCCTTTATTTTTCGATTTTTTTTCGAATTTTCTGTCCATTTTGTAAGCTTCAGTTTGTTTTTACGGACAAATGGTGGTTTCTGAAACTTCTGGAACATGAAGCCATACGCCCAATCCAACTGAGAAAGCTATGTCGACAAGCATCTGTAAACCGGAAGTAGTCGAAATAATGTTTGAATTTTGAAAATAACACAAAAAATTGATCTTTTTGGGAAAATACAATAACAACTGATTAAACAAATTAAGGTACATGTATTGTTGGGTGGCATGAGAATTGGACTGGCATATGATACCCAATTTATATGAATACAATGATCAGGAAGCAAAATATGGCACGCTGAAAATCAATTGGATTTCATAATTTCATTTTGTGATGAATTATAGGATCGTCATTGGCACCACTGCCAACTTTATAATAGCCTACTAGAGGATAGGATAGACAAACCGTTACAATATAAACAAGCCAACAGTTAGGCTGATGTCCCCCGCCGAAATCCCAAAATAAATAGATGACACATATTAATTAATCGCACATTTATTTTTTTCAAAAGTATCGAGGAATCAAACCATACACTAAGTTTCATCACTCTCTATCAGATAGAATCAAGATTATCTTGTCCCAAACCATCGACAAATGAAATCGAATAGTTCTGCTTAGCGTCAGCTCGAAATGTTAATACACCAAGTTTCATCACTCTCACTTAATTAGAATTGAAGTTATCATGTCCCAAAGCATCAACCAATGAAATTTCTTATCTCTGCTTACCCTAAGCAGAAAATGCTCATCTTCGAACTTCATCCAGGCATTGGACTAACAAACACCTACACCAAGTTTGAACATTCTAGCTCAATTAGAGTCAATTAGAAAGAGAGTTATTGTGTCCCAAAAAGTGTGACGAACAGAAGGACAGACGGACGAACCTATTTTAATAGATATAAAAGACAACAGGCGATCCATTGATAACATTATAATCTTAGTTCATCCAGATTTTCCAGCGTGGTTCTCCCTTGTCAGTGATGCAGGACGGAGGGGCTGACAAGGAAAGCTGTCTAGTCGTTCGGATGGGACGAAAAACCGAGGTCCCATGTACACATTGGCGTGCACGTAAAAGATCCCTTGGCAGTTGGAATTCGATATAAGAGTAGGCCGTAGTGCCGCTGTCCGGGCAAAATTTCCCTCATAGCACACTGTATGGCGTATGCCCGTCTTCATTAGTCCAGGTTAGGAGCAGAACAGTAGGATGTTAAACTCCATTTCATTTCATTTCATTTCATTATAATCTTATTAATAGAACAGACGATATAATAATATATAAATAGACACATCCAGCCACGTGATGCGCACTTCTCTTCTGCGCAATTGTACTTTGCAACTCGGCCATGATTAGTACATGATGAAAATTCCATTAGCAATTACCCTAATTTTATGGCTAATTTCAGTGCCTATCTCCATGCTTATCTTTAAGTCACTTTCTTGCTGCAGAATAATACGATTTTGTAGTGTTTCAATAAAACAAAGTGGCTAGTTTTACGGATCCGTAATCCAATGTGCGCAGGGAGGCTATTTTTACGGCACTTCCCGTCGCGCATGCGCATCGGGAAAATGTTGGTCTACCACTCCGTAAAAATAGGCAGAATACTGGATCTTGGACCAGTCGCTATATACTTCAATGGCGATGATGGCGGCAATCAGTGACGTAATCTATATATAGATAGACCGCGCAGACTACTAAATGTTCATTGGCCGCCATGACCAATCGGATTACATGTCATTTAGGACTCACGTCATTTGGGACTCGCGTCATTTGGGACTCAAAAAAATATGACCACGACATTTGGGACTCGGGTATACGTCGTTTGGGACTCGGGTTTACGACGTTTGGGACTCGGGATAATTTATTAGAAATAGGCCAATTCAAAACACGAAAGAAAATATTTATTAACATGAAAGACGTGGTTAGTAAAAGGCTCAACCAAACGATAAAACATTACATGGTAATCGATGATCCAATAGGATGTCAATCCCTTCTAAATGAAGACTTAAGAAACTAAGTAACTGGTCGAAAAGTTGGAAAATTAACTTTAATCCGCAGAAAACAAAAACTATTACATTCTCGAGAAAACAAAACCCTACCCGTATTGATCTTTACTTTGATGGAACAGCACTAACTGATATCAAAGACCACAAGCATCTGGGAGTTTATTTAAGTAGTAATTGTAATTGGACTGCTCATATTAATTATATTGTGACTAAAGTGAGTAAATTTATAGATTGTTTCAGAAGTTTAAAATATCGTTTAAACAGAAGGTCTCTTGAGACAATATATAAAGCATTTATACTACCGTTATTCGATTACGGTGACGTAATCTGGAATAACTGTACTAAACACGAAAGTACTGTACTTGAAAACTTAAACCTTGATGCACTTAGAACAATTACTGGATTAGTGAGAGGTACATCTCATTATCTATTGTATAAAGAATCCGGATTCACTTCGCTTGAAACTAGACGATATCGTCATAAACTAATTTTATTTTACAAAATGGTGAATAAAATAACTCCAGGTTACTTGTCTATTCTAGTTCCTCACAAATCTTCGGACGTAAACCCTTACGAAACGCGGAATTCACAACTATATAGAAATATTCTTGCTAATACTACATTTTATAAAAACTCCTTTTTACCGTCCGTAATAAAAGACTGGAATAATTTACCCGAGCATATGAAAGCATGCCCTAGTATAAAACTTTTTAAAGCACAGTTAACCAATGATGATAAATTAGTACCTAAATATTTTTACACCGGAAAGCGTTCTTCTCAAATAATCCATACAAAACTGCGTCACAATAAAAGTAACTTAAACTACCATAAATTCGTCATGCACTTAACGGACAACCCAGCATGTTCATGTGGCCACTACATAGAGGATACGGAACATTATTTATTATATTGTCCAAAATTTACCAATGTTAGATTCCAAACTATAAATACATTACCAAATATTTTTATTAACTTACAAACGTTAACCAATGGTGATAGCAATAATACCTTACAAATAAATACGCACATTTTCAATACAGTCCACACATTTATACATTTATCTAAAAGACTACAATAACCATCGTAAAATACCATCTAAATTAATTACTTTTCGGTTAATATACATCTGACGTCCACAAAACATGATGCAAGGCAAGCGTATTATGAAATAGTAAGGCAATGTAAGTGACACTAACTGTTAAATTACTTGCATGCACGATTAGTGTGAATATTAAATATTGTACCGTTAAATGTATTTGTATGAGAAGTGTATATATCACAGTTGTATTTGTAGTATACTTAATATATAAGGAGACGAATTAATATAAGCCTTGGCTTGTTTTTGAATCCTTACCTTCAGAATTGTAGATGTATACAACACTTATCTTATTTGAATAAAATATTGTTTAAATCAATAAAACATTAGTTGCACTTACGGTTCTTTAATAATCATCGTTTCTCATAAAAGTTATAAATTTATTTAAAACGAATAATATGCTGATGAATTTATTTGAAAATGACCTACACAAAAAACAAAATAAATATTTACACGACATGCAATCTTTTTTTACAAGCCCCTAGAAATTGTTAACGATAATCCGTGAGCTGCACGTTGACATGCTTGTCGTAGATGGCAATACCAATCGATAAATTAGTTCGTACAAGGCAAAGTTTTTTTGTGGAAAATATAAGAAATGGCAACGATCAAAGCGGGATAATTAAAGCTGATTAACTGATAATCCCAATGTTATTACAGTATGTTCAAAAAAACCTAACGGTTCTTTGGTGGATGAGGAAAAACGTGAGTTGTCAATCATCGAGAATGGCGGCCGTGTGTTGATTGCAGTTATACCGTTTCACGAAAAAACATTATCAGTGGTCGGTCAATCAAGCTCGTTTACTATTTGATAAAAGAAAAACACAAATTTTCAACAATATATTATTGTCAAGTTTTATACTCGTGGATAAAACAAAACAAAGGAGAACTAGCAGTGTTAATCGCGGTCTCAACAATCGCCGATCAACTAGTAAATAAAACGAAAGACAACTAAGACAGCTGTTACCATATATCTCACAAATAAATAATCCCAACTGTCGTTTTGTTTTATCTGCGAGTATAAAACTTCTCCTTTGTTTTGTTTTATCTGCGAGTATAAAACTTGACAATAACCTACATGGATACTTGCATTCTTAATCATCTTTACTTTATAATTACTGAGTAAGATGCTGGAAATAATACCATTCGAACTAATTGTAAACACCGAAATATGTTTGGAAACGGTCAGTGTAAAGGGCTCGGGGGTTTAAATAAGTAAATAAATATAAGTGTGTTGGAAGAATTTGTTCCAATAAAAAGAGTTAATTTTTCTTGACCGAAAATGGATTTTTGGAAAACACAAAGAATACAAATATGAACAAATATTAGATTTAATTACAAATACACCATTACATGAATAATTTTTTTCATCTTATTTTTAGCACAGGTTTTACATTTCATTGCTCAATGACAGCCATATGTGCCAAATGCACGATAGCACATATTTACCCAAATTCACATGTACCGGTACCCAAATCCAACATTATTTCAACTCTGATTATAATATTTTATATCTACATGTATTTGATAATATACCCTTCTTTATGTCAAATTGACATTTTCAATTTAAAATCGTAAAATTTGTTTCAAAACTGTACCGCAAAATGCAATTTACAAACAAGCAAGTGATTTCGTGAAATACACAAGTTATGTCCCTTGGTTACAACTTCCAAACTTACTGGGAAATTGCGTATTTAGGGGGAATTTTGACACATCAACACGCACCTAATTAACGTTACAAACAAACACGCTTATAGAGGCTAGAGCACTAACATTAGAACTAATAGACACCAAATGGACAGACTATCTCAAAATCTATACAGATGGGTCGAAAAATAATACACAGGGATTAACAGGGTACGGCATTTTCAAACCCAAAGCAAAGCTAAACATCAGGAAAAGGATACCAGAACATTGTTCTGTGTACACCGCAGAATTGATGGCCATTAAAACTGCAATAGAATGGCTAGCCACCCAAACACACCAAAAAGCCGTTATCTTGTCAGACTCCCTAAGTAGCATCAAATCCATCGAATAGACTATTCCAAAAGCAGACAGGGCATAATCCACCAAATTAGGGATATTAATCAAACAATCAAAAACAACGGAAGAGAGGTAGTCCTTGCATGGATCCCCTCCCACATCAATATCTTCGGCAATGAACAGGCTGACAAGCTAGCCAAGGAAGGGTTGTCATTAAATGATATAGAAAATTTAGAATACAGCAGTCAGGAATTCACAAGCATAGCTAAAGATAAAATTAAAAATGCATGGAAGACCCGTCTAAAACAAGAGAATACTCATCGCTATCAAATTGATAGCAATCTTGTAGACAAGGTTTACATCAATCAAAATATGCAAACTCATCACGAGGCTTAAAACGATAAACGTAATAAAAGACTTCACCTATACACCAATTAAATGCCCATGTGGACAAATTGCGACCACGTCACACCTGCTAATCAACTGTAATCAATTAAATAAAGAACGTCAATCCGTAATTAAGAATCTAGCAGAGAGGGGAAAAACTCTCTGTCTCAAATCTCTCCTTTCTCCACGACCTGACGATAGATACTGGACATTCTAACTTCTCTGGGATTTTATTGAGAATATAGGGATGACCAAATATATAAAATAATAAAATTAATCAAACAGTAGGGCGGAACGTAAAAATATCCTCTAGAAGGAAGCGTAAACCGCCCTACACTACTAATAAATACAGGCATGACCAAATACATAAAATAACTAAAACTGCGACGCAGTAATGACGGGCTTCACCGGTGCCCCGTTACCCTTGAACATATGTCACTTCCGGTACCGATGAAACCATTAAACAGGTTTCCATATAAGCATTGCACACATCAAATAAAATGTACGCAGAATCAACCAAATCCAGCAATATCAATTCATTGTATACATTTTGTTACATGTAAGTGATACTGACAAAATTACATTACTTCCGGTTATAATGAAAATGTTAAATTAGTTTTATGAAATCAGAAATGGCATAAGGCATCACGTGGAGAACATTTTATGTAAATCGAATAATAATTGCCACTTTTATAGACCGAAAACCTTGAAAAGGGACTTGTAGAAAATCGTCTATTTCTCTACAACCGTACAAGTTAGAAACCATTTTTTGGTATCTGTATGATCGTGTGGGTTGAATCTATTTGTTGATTGGAATCAAATATCATAACTTTAAAAACATTACAAATTAGACTCATTTGAATAAAATATCTGTTTTGAAGGCTAAAAATACAGTTTTTGCCAAAATGACATACTTCCGGTGACAGTAAAAGTGTTAAATTACTTGTATGAAATCGTAAATGGCATTAGGTACCACACGGTGAACATTTTATGAAAATCGAATAATAATTAACACGTTTATGGACCAAAAACCTTGAAAAGTTACCTGTTGAAAATCGTCTATTTCTTCGCAACTGAACAAGTTAGAAACCATTTTGTGATACCTATATGATTGTATGGGTTCATTCTATTGGTTGATTGGGATCAAATATCAAAATTTTAAACACATAACAAATACGACTCATTTGAATAAAATACTGGTTTTGAAGGCTATAAATACAATTTTTGCCCAAATTACGTCATTTCCGGTAACATTGGAAATGTTAAATTGGTTTGACCTTGTTAAAATTGACATAACGCATCAAATGGTGTCATTTTTTTGAAAATCGAATAATAATTGACTCTTTCACAGGCAAACTAGCGTAAAGTGTGACTCATGCAAAATTGCCCATTTCTCGGCAACTTCTCATATTACAAACTAATTTTCACATACATTCTCTTCGTATGGATTATTGCTACTAGTTTATGAAAGTTTCGAAAAAATATATTAAAATATGAAAAGCCTGAATGGGTTTTGAATAGCTCATTTTTTCACCTTTTTTCGCCTTTAAATCGAAATGATCCGAAAACGAAATAAAAATTAAAAAAACTGAGCGCGATGATTTTTACGCCTTAACAGGGCACACCCTTTCAGTCATACCAGATTTGAAAAAAATAATATTTGCTTTCAAAAAGTGGTACCGAACTCTCAAATTTGCAGTTTTTGCTAAATTTACGTCACTTCCGCTATCGAAAGGAAAATGTACCGGTAACAAAAAAAAATGACATTTTGGACCACGGAGCATATGAACTTTGTTTTATACAAATCGAACAATAAATAATTAATCCAGGACTGAAAAACTGAATTAGCCAATGGGGGCCAAGGAAAAATACGGTGACAAAAAATGTTGCCATTTTTGGTCAAATCAGATAACTCTTTAACCCTAAGTAAATTACCACATAAAAATATTCATTAATAAAGAAGTTTTTTGTAAAAATTTAAATTTTCAAAATTTGGCACCTAATATCCCCTAAGATTCGTCGAAAATAAAAAATCCAAAAAACTGTAGCTATGTCCCTTGTCTCTGGCTATGTCAAAATGTATCAAATATTACAATCCGACAATAATTGATAACATTACGGCAAAATATCGAAAAACGACAACTTCGGTGATTTCGGACATTTCGCATTGTCGCAGAACGTTGGAAAAAGCTTTAAAATTTAAGTCAAACCCACTTTCCCAGTAAAACCGAAGACATCGAATCGATCCGACAAGTAGTTTCTGAGATATGCTCAAATGGAAAAATAATAATAATAATAATAAGAAGAATAATAATCCGAACAAAAACAATAGTGGCTACGCAGTGTGAAACCCTAATAAAATTAATCAATTAACAGTTGGGTGGAACGTAAAAATGTCCTCTAGAAGGAAGCGTAAACCGCTCTACACTACTAACAAAACTCCGATAAAATTAATAAACTAATTAATAAAATTAATCAATTAACAGTTGGGTGGAACGTAAAAATGTCCTCTAGAAGGAAGCGTAAACCGCCCTACACCACTAATAAACCTCAGATAAAATTAATAAATCAATTAATAAAATTACTAAATTAACAGTAGGACGGAACATAAAAATGGCCTCTAGAAGGAAGCGTAAACCGCCCTACACTACCAATAAACCTCCGATAAAATTAATAAATCAAGAATCAACCAGTATCTTTTAAATCTATGTCAAGCAACAATATATTTACCATTAATTTACCACTAATATAATTCATGAGTAACTTATTATTCTTATTATTTATCTGCAATTCATTTAACAATCTATTTTCTTTTATTCCACTTATTATTCTTATTATTAGTTTATAATGATCCCCGCCCCCCCCCCCCCCTCCCGAAGCCTTACTAGACGAAATAACCACAAAACCGCAGTAAGACCAGATACTCTCTTTTCTCTAGCTTTCTTTTTCAGGTGCTGGATTCTTCCTTCAGAGAACCAACAATAAAAGGAATGAATAACAGAAATAAAGATGTAACAACGCCACCATACCGGACAACAAACCCAAATGGAAGGAAGAATGGACCAGGACTCAGACTCACCAACAAAGCCCCAAGGAAGAGTTGCACCGCCCTGCCATTCTACCGAACAGAACGACCAGACCAACCCAAACGACCCAATAAATATATATATGTACATAACATGTTCATGTCTGTGAAAATGTCCATCATTGTCCATGTCTGTTCCGTCAATTCGTATGTCTGTGAACCTCTACTGGCACTTTTATCGTCCTTTGCACATGTTATCCTACTGTTGTCTATTGTCCTATGTACATATATATGAAAAACCTAATTATCCTATTTTTCTCACTAATCACATTGTAAATTATTGCACCTTGTATACATAACATGTTATTGTCTACGATATCACCTCGGTGGAAGCGGACGTAAAATACAACTAACTACTACTACAAGACCGTTACGATTTTAATTTCAAAATGACAATTTAGCATAAAGAGCTGTATATTATCAAATATCGATATAAATTATTGTGATATGAGTTAGAATAATGATGGATTTGCTTACAATTTCAAAATTTTCTTGGAAATCGCATTTGATTTATGCGGATTTGGGTAAATTGTGCCACAACCAAATGCATATATATATTAACTGATTAATTGCGACTTGTGTAAAAGGTTGAATATTTTACTTATACATGTAATATTTTCACATCTTAGTTCTTTCATGTCTATGCATTTTGGAGTTTGGGAGTACCTTTACAAATAACCAAACAAATATATATTTGAATTATACAGGTTACAGAGAGAGAGAGAAATGGGGTTTAATGTCTACTCGACACACACTAGGTCATTTTGGGACTAACACATGGTTCAATTTATTTGGTAAGACGCTGGCTCGCTAGCCTGGAGGTCAGGTTTTCGATCCCTGCATTGGCAGAGAAAGTTCATCCAGATTTTCCAGAGTGGTCCCCCTCTTGTCAGTGATGCAGGACGGATGGCCTGACAAGTACAGCTGTCTAGTCGTTCGGATTGGACGAAAAACCAAGGTCCCGTGTACATCTTCCCTTGACAGTTGGAATTCGATGTAAGAGTGGGCCGTAGTGCCGCTGTCCGGGCAAAATTTCCCTCATAGCACACTGTATGGCGTATGTCCGTCTTCATTAGACCAGTTCGGAGCAGAACAGTAGGACATTAAACTCCATTTCATTTCATTTCAATTTATGTGAACAGTTCACTTGCGCTCACAGGGGTCTTTAGCAGTGGGAGCAAACCGGAGGACCCAGAGAAAACTCACAAAGTTGGACAGGCGACCCTACTCCTTGTCACGTACGAATGGGGAATCGAAACCACGGCAGTTGACTCAACCCCCTATACAGATTACACGAATCTGTCATTATAACTAATATAGCAATGCTAAATACGACACAGTATTTCAAGCATTTATATTTTGTCAAACATAGAGATTAAGATAGTTAATAATTCTACTGATGTTGGAAAAGTACAGTTCTTGTTAACTTTTGTCTTACACATTGTCCCTGTAGTGCTAAATTAGTTAATCTCACCACATGAAATCTTCTTAACTTTATGAACTGACTACAAACTAATTTCAACAAATTATAATAATGCGTGTCTATTCCTTTACATGTTTCTGTGAAATGATCATTCGGATGAGAGAATAAAGTAGAAGGTAAATTCATCATAACTTTAGATACAACAACATTTTCCTATTCATTTGGTTTAACATATTTGATATTGACAAAAGAACTGAGTATAACTTCACATTGTCGAACAATCTGGATAACATCATTTGATGGAATGCATAGTCCTCCATTGTTTGTTATATTTAGAAGCCCATATTTGGTATCAGTTTTAGGTTTTACTAAGGCATGGGCACAGGGCACACACTGAACTTTAGACATCAATGTTCTAACAACCCAGCCAGCTATATTTTCAAGGAAACCCTCTACAAATGAACTGATACCTCTGCCATTGATGGGATAATCCTGGTCTGCAAGAGCATTTTCAAAGGTAATTATTTCTGTGTTGTTGACTTCCAAGATAGAGGTTATGTCTTGTGGTACACATGAGGTGTTGCAATCGATTGTTCCGCTTACACCAACATGACCTAGTAGAGATCTATATGCATTCGAAAATTGTACTGCAGATGGATTGTTGTTCTATCCCCCATATCTCCTAATGGCAGAAAAAAAGGAGCTCAAGGTGATCTTGTGACAATTTTTAAGTCAACAAGTATTTCAGTGCTGGTGGATTTGATAAAATCATCTCTCTTGCAAGACCAAGACGGCTTTGAATGTTACACAAGAAACCAATGATACATATCTTTCTTTTTCCATGGCAGACTTTCTGACCAGTCATGTCTTTTAAGTTTAATAGTACAGAACTGGTGGATAACAAAAAGGATTCAAAAGACTAAAAAAAATTTGCATTAATGGGATGCTTAAAACCTTTTGCAGCTGGCGTTCTACTGTTGAAAATATCGAACATTCGATCCACCATGGCAACAAGATTGATTGTTCCTTGACAATTTCCTAAATCTTCACAGACTGAAGAAGCAAATTCTAGGGATTTAGCAACCGAACTACTTAAAACTTGTACTGCTAATTTAACATTCATTTTTTGATTGGTAAATTCTATGTGCTTCTTTGTTAGCCTATAGCTGCTCTTAAGCCTTCATTTCGTTGTAATTCTTCAAGTCTTTTTATGTCTGACCACTTTGCTGTACCAAAAGTTTCTTCCTGCAGTTGTTGAAGAGAATGGAGAGCTCCACGGAAGTTTTTGAGAAGATGACAAGCATCAAAGAATATATATATGTTTAATTCTGGATTAGATGGATGTTGGAAAGTACTTCTGATGTTGTCAGGGTTTAAATTGCCTCCGAAAATGTTTGCCATTCTTTGGTTGGTTGGATGCCCATCCATCACAATAGATGTTACTCTAATACAAATTTGGTAAAGTGATGATATTGCTGTCAAAAGAAGCTGGCTGTGTATCTCTGCTGATATTCCATCAACAAGGAAATAACCTAGTGGTACTTTCCAGTGACCTTGTAAACCAACAGCTAGTATCACTATGACTTCACGTGCCTCAACTGCATCATTTTCAACTGGTCCAGAACCTAAATTAACAAAACCAACCATTTGACCGTTATTTGCATCCCAATCAATGTGTTTTTTTATGGACATGCCATCAATCATCAGACTGCGGTGTTTGTAGGTCCATTCATCACTTTGAACTTTTTGCTGAAGCATGTTTATAACTTGACTAGAGAGACCTGGTTTATGTTACTCAGCCACCTACAAGTATACAGAATAGAGAAATATATGAATATGATGAATGAAGCGTGCTATAAATGACTTGTAACATTGGCACCTGCTGATCATGCTCGTTGTTATTGCACAGAAAACCCACCCCACTTCTCTATATGATTTCTGCTAAAACTAGCATAAACCAGCAAAAGTGTGCAATAATAATGAAGATGTCTAGTATTGCACGGTTAAGACCCACCCAATCTACTACAGGGAAAACAATCTGCTTATTCAACGAAAAGAACAAAGAAAGATTTCCCATCCATGTTACAATTATTTTTATGTCATCATTTGGTGTTGTTTATAATGGGACAACGGCATGTTTTGTTTTCATTCTATATTGAGCTGCGAAATGTGGGAAAATTTTGCCTGGGCTGGGCAGTGGCGAATCCATCTACTCTTATGATCTTTTACGTTCGCTGTCAATGCCTCAATCCTAAGAACTGTGTACCTTTTCCTTCACTAGGTAGATAACACAAAACTATGCATGACATTATATGCAAGTGCAATCATAAATACTGTACATATTATTATTATACATGTATGTGCTCGATGAAGCATTTCATATATGCACATTTAATGAAAATGGAACATCAATTTCAAAGAGTCAATTTAAAGTAATATTTGATCCATTATTTAATTATTTTTTTTAAAAGTAATAAAACAAAAAAATATTAACGTACAACAGTATCATTCAAACAAATGGAATAATAAATAAACTTTAGTTTGGTGTAGTCTGGAATAAACTGTAAAAGTAAAATTAGTCATAAAGAAACAACCATTAAAAGATACAAAGATTTTTTTTAGTAAAACAAAAACAATAAATCCTTAATTCTAAAAACTGAGAAAAATATAAATCTATAATACTTGTTATTATTGTGAAATTTTGCCAATGATCAATTCAAAATAGAGTCCTTGATCATACAGACTTTCCCAGCAAATTATAAATTTCATTATTTTCACATTTCATAATAATATTCTGACAATAAATGGCAATATTCCAAGTACAAAATGTAAAATAAAATACTGACAAATATAGAAGCAATAAAAACAACCAGTTCCCATGCAAGATACACCCACAATTTGTAAGATATGAATGGAGAAAAAGTAATTACCTTCTAATCGTGGATTGGTGTGGTAAGTTGACCTTGCTTCTTAAATAGTTGTAGGCTTTCGGTCCATAAAAATACAGAGTGGTTGAAAACTTCTTTTGGTCTTCAGAGTATTCAGAAGCAGGTTTAGTGAACAGGTCAACAGGAATATCTAAAATTGTCACAAATATCATAATTCAGTTGTTTATTATTAATTTATTTCTAATTCTGAACCATTTCAACAGCAATTTAATAGTTGTATTGGAGGCATTTATGAATACAAATGACCACAGGTTTTATAAAGGGACATGCCTGTTATGTACCATGCAACATCCAGGGTATGTTGGATAGAAAATATATTTTTGATTCTAAATTTTTAGAGCAATTTATTTTAGCATGCATGTAATAAACATATAAAATGTGTACTGAAGGAAATATTCCTTTAAAAAATATGAATGGTATTTTTTCACGGCACTATTGTTCTATAGCTTGTGTGATTTTAAATTCTGTTACAACAAATACTTTAAAATATCACCATAAGACTCAGTTATTCTAAAAAGGTACACGCAATGCGTATATGTAAAGTCAAACCTTTATATGAATCAATCATTTGTTGAGCCTTTTCTGATAATTTCTTTTCATCAATTACCATTTTTGCACGTTTTTCTCTGCGTTTGGTTAAAGTTACAATTTCATATTTTCTAAGAAATTCAAAACATAATTATTTCTATGTCTTTTGCTCAATAGGTTGTCAACTCACTATTATACGATCATAGGTTATCTTTCTCACACCTAAAAATCTTCACACCGGAAATAATAACACAATTATCTCCCAATTACTTCCCTTGTTTTCCTATTCCCCAGCATGGAATAGCTATCTTCAAACGTTTGAATTTGAAGTTGAAAATGATATTTTTACCAATTTCTCAACTGGCAATAGTGAATTATAGGATTATTCTTTAACAAGGTAGGACTGTTTATAGATACCATCTATTTTAGGGCTTTATTTTAATACATTTTAAAAATATAACTTAAAAATATGAAATTGTAACTTTAAGGCAAGTTGGTGGACTGTGCGTGTTTTCCAGTCTATTGGTGGCATCTTCTCATTTTTCTTTCATGGTATTTAAATCATGATGGTAATTGTGTTCAATGGATGGTAACTATGATGGAGATGATCTTTCTTCTATAACTCTTGAGGGCTCTACATCTACTCTGGCCCTTTTGCTTGAAGAGGTTTGTCTTGAAACAATCTATAAATAAAAGAAAAGGGTAAATGAGACTACACTCGGGTGGACGATGTACCTTTTCAATCCAAATTGCAAAATAACCATCTGAAATGAAATGAAATGAGGTTTAACGTCCTACTGTTCTGCTCCTATGCTGGGCTAATGAAGACGGGCATACGCCATACTGTGAGGTGTGAGGGAAATTTTGCCCGGGCAACCCTAACCCTAACACCTTTAAAATACAATAATATGCCATTCCAAAATAAATAACCCTATCACCCTATCTGCATATTTCACTTCAATAATTCACTTGCGCGTAGGGGTCTTTAGCAGTGGGAGGAAACCGGAGGACCTGGAGAAAACCCACGAGGTTGGATCCTCACTAATGACAATGATAAAAGCAAATGAAATGAAAAGGGTTTTTTAACGTCCTACTGTTCTGCTCGATGGACTAATGAAGACGGGCATACGCCTTACAGTGTGCTATGATAGAAATTTTACCCGGACAGCGGCTACGGCCTACTCTTATATCGAATTCCAACTGCTAAGGGATCTTTTACGTGCACACCAATGTGTACACGCGACCTTGGTTTTTCATCCCATCCGAATGACTAGATAGCTGTCCTTGTCCGGCCTGCATCACTGACTAAATGCAATCTGCACACCGATTAGACAGACTCTCCGCCCAACACCACTGATAAGATGGAACCATACAGGAAAATGCTGAACTATCTCAGCCAAACCAGGATCGAACCTCGAACCTCCTGGTTGGTTACAATTGAAATTTTTTATCAGAAGTGACACTATATTGTCCAAAACTGACCTTTTTGACAATTTTGACGTTTATCATCACAAAATAGTATGTGTACATTTGCGGAGAAATAGAAGATTTTCCACAAGTGACGTTTCAAGGTTTTTTTCCTTACATGTGCCAATTATTATTCAATTTTCATAAAATGTTTGCAATTTGATGCCTAATGTCATCTTTGATTTTATAAAACCAATTTAACATTTTCCTTATAACAACAGGAAGTAACTTAATTTTGGCAAAAACTGTATTTTTAGCCTTCAAAACAAATAATTTCTTTAAAAGAATGTTATTATTTGTATAAAATTATATTTGATGCTAATCAACATATAGAATGAACCAATACGATCAACAGATATAAAAAAATTGTTTCTTACATTTAATGAGGTATTAGGATGGGTTAATTCTGTCCAATGTTTAATAAATATTGAGATTTTTTTTTTTTAGAAATATTTTTAATGAATCAATTTGGTTTGAAGGGCAAAAGAATGAAAAATGTGTATATAATCCTTATATCACAACTTTGGGTTTAAGGACCCCCCCCCCCCAACACACACACACAAATAAAATATGTTCATAACTTAAAAGTAGTTTTGGGGTCTTAAAGACCTTTATATAAAAAAAAATACTGATTTAAAAAATACAGTCTTTGTGTGTTTAAAAACTTCATATATTTCAGATGGTTGTCACAAAATTTCCAGTAGCTTTCTCAAGTACAACTATCAGGAAAAAAAATAACAAAATATATTATGTACCAACATTTATTACTTAAAAAAAATGGGCGTGGCACTTTCATAGTAAACACTATGAACCGTAGAATGCACTATTTTAGAGCGTTAGCTTTAAAGCATTGGAATTCTTATTGGAATTACTATTATTAAGTATTATACTAACTAAACTATATTACTAAATTACTATAAGTGTAACCGGGTCTAATTCAAGCAAAAGACGAGGCTGTTTAAATCTTTATTAAAAACCCTGTAAAAATATACATACATAGAATTAACATCACCAACATTTAATATATAATACATATAATACACTTTAAAACACATCAAACATTACACTGTATTATAATTATACTATATATTTAATTCTATACTCATATCTTTACAGTAATAATTTCTATAATATCTCTAATTATTAGATAATACCTATATGAAATAACATACCCTAGAAGGGGTTTTAAAGATCTTTGTGTTGAAACAACACAACCATGTAACACTCTAGCAGCTAGAAGGTATCCTATATAAACAAATGATTCTATGATTATTCTATGCTAAAACTAAACTTAAACTAAACCTAATTACTAAATGTTAATACTTATCGCTAAAGAGCTGTTGAATATGTATAAATGTATTTTACTGTGTATGTAAAGAATAATATATGAAATAACTAATTTACACATCTTACAGACAATACCAATGATATTCAAATACACATACCTTAATTCGATGAATGAAGACTTGACCAAAAGAATCTTCAGTAACTGGAACAACTTATAAAACTTTGAGCGCAAATACAAATTTAAGATTTAGAAGATAATCTTATACATCTGACACATTTAAAATCCTAAGTTAAACTGATTTCAATTGTTACCCCTGTAACCCAGGAAGTTGGGTTTGTTAGGAAAAGTATCCAAGGAGATGATGAGGTGATAGTCACTGATGTTGTTACAAAGACCTGTCCAGAAGCTGAACATCCAGAGACTATGAATATAAGGGTTCAAAGATCAGATGAAAGTGAAAGTTTGTTATTGTTTATTAAGCTACTGTCAGTGTAGTGCAGTGTAGACTAAAACCTATTATATAATTAAAACACCAAAATTCCACACTATCACATTCTCCCCTCCTAAAAGTAATGTCGTTCCGACAATTAATACAACTAAAACCAAAATATCAAACTACATTAAAACTAGCATATTTAACTAAAACCAACATATTGTTCTTATAGCTTCGCACACAATTCTTCTTCGTTCAGGTGGTAAATTAACGAAATCATCTGAAGTCAGGTACCCAAACAGGTTTTCTGAACTCATGACCACGGAAGGCGTAATGTTCATGATGTAGTCCCCACCTTGATATTTCTGCGGTAGTTGCCTGTTCCTTGTTGTTCTTCGTGGAGGTTCTGGGGAGTCATCTTCTGAACTAGGTAAATGATCAGACTGGAATTCCACATTACTTTTATGAGTTCCTTCCACATCCTCACTCACCTCATGTTGTCTCGTGGGGCTAGCTGGCGGCGAAGGAAGTCTTCCCCGATCCACAATCACAACATCATCCTCATCTTCACTCGACTCTACCTCCGGCTCTTGAATGGCAGCAGTCTTCCTCCTGGGTTTAGGTACTGGTGCAGCACAATCAGGTAAATCGAAAGGAATGGAACCAATTGGAAGAAGGTTATTCCGATGAAGCATCCGAACTCTTCCAACACCATCTTCTCGTTTCACCTCATAGACTGGTATATCGGGATTGGGTTGTTGTATCACCGTGTAGACCTGTTCTTAAAATTTATCTGCGATCTTGTGGCGTCCATCTTTAAAAACTAACTTCTTTACTAATACCCTATCACTTTCTTCTAGTATTGATTCTGTTGCTCTTCTATCATAGTTCTTCTTTTGTTGTTCTTGAGATCTTCCGATGATTTCTGAAGCTAATTGGTAGGAATATTCTAGTCTCTTTTTCAGGTCTTTCATATAAGTTCTGTATGATGTTATTTCCGATTCGTTGACAATGCCAAGTAAAACATCCACAGCGAGAAATGGCTTCCTCCCAAACATAAGTTGAAACGGTGAAAAATGGGTGCTGTCATGCCCTGTGCAGATGTAGGCATGTACCAAGGAAGGCAGATACCGTTTCCAATTTAATTTCTGTTCTACTTCCAAAGTTCCCAGCATTTTTAATAACGTCCGGTTGAAACGTTCACACATTCCATTTCCACTTGGGTGATATGGTGTAGTTCTGGTCTTGCGCATACCTGTAAATTTGCAGAGTTCTTGGATGATGCGGCACTCAAAAGTTCCACCTCGATCACTGTGTATCCTTTTTGGAAAGCCGTAATGGAAAATGAAATTGTCGAAAAGGATCCTTGCTGTTGTTTTGGCATCCTAGCTTCTTGTTGCAATTGCCTGAGCATACCTGGTTAAATGATCAGTGATGACTAAAATGTTTGAATATTTCCCTTTACACTCCTCTAAACACAAATAATCCATACAGAGAATCTCCATAGGCTGTGATGATGTAATATTCACTAGAGGCACTCGAAAATTGGTAGAGGACTTGCGCATGATGCATCTCTTGCAAGACTTCAAATATCCATCGACATCTGCAGACATCCGTGGCCAAAATACTCGTTCTTTCAGAAGTGTTAGAGTTCTGTCACGACCCAGGTGACCTACATCATCATGGCAAGAGATGCCTCATGCGCAAGTCCTCTACCAATTCTCGAGTGCCTCTAGTGAATATTAGATCATCACAGCCTATAGAGATTCTCTGTATGGATTATTTGTGTTTAGAGGAATATAAAGGGAAATATTCAAACATTTTAGTCATCACTGATCATTTTACCAGGTATGCTCAGGCAATTGCAACAAGAAGCCAGGATGCCAAAACAACAGCAAGGATCCTTTTCGACAATTTCATTGTCCATTACGGCTTTCCAAAAAGGATACACAGTGATCGAGGTGGAAGTTTTGAGTACCGCATCATCCAAGAACTCTGCAAATTAACAGGTATGCGCAAGACCAGAACTACACCATATCACCCAAGTGGAAATGGAATGTGTGAACGTTTCAACCGGACGTTATTAAAAATGCTGGGAACTTTGGAAGTAGAACAGAAATTAAACTGGAAACAGTATCTGCCTTCCCTGGTACATGCCTACAACTGCACAGAGCATGACAGCACCCATTTTTCACCGTTTCAACTTATGTTTGGGAGGAAGCCATTTCTCGCTGTGGATGTTTTACTTGGCATTGTCAACGAATCGGAAATAACATCATACAGAACTTATATGAAAGACCTGAAAAAGAGACTAGAATATTACTACCAATTAGCTTCAGAAATCATCGGAAGATCTCAAGAACAACAAAAGAAGAACTATGATAGAAGAGCAACAGAATCAATACTAGAAGAAAGTGATGGGGTATTAGTAAAGAAGTTAGTTTTTAAAGATGGACGCCACAAGATCGCAGATAAATTTGAAGAACAGGTCTACACGGTGATACAACAACCCAATCCCGATATACCAGTCTATGAGGTGAAACGAGAAGATGGTGTTGGAAGAGTTCGGATGCTTCATCGGAATAACCTTCTTCCAATTGGTTCCATTCCTTTCGATTTACCTGATTGTGCTGCACCAGTACCTAAACCCAGGAGGAAGACGGCTGTCATTCAAGAGCCGGAGGTAGAGTCGAGTGAAGATGAGGATGATGTTGTGATTGTGGATCGGGGAAGACTTCCTTCGCCGCCAGCTAGCCCCACGAGACAACATGAGGTGAGTGAGGATGTGGAAGGAACTCATGAAAGTAATGTGGAATTCCAGTCTGATCATTTACCTAGTTCAGAAGATGACTCCCCAGAACCTCCACGATGATCAACAAGGAACAGGCAACTACCACAGAAATACCAAGGTGGGGACTACATCATGAACATTACGCCTTCAGTGGTCATGAGTCCAGAAAACCTGTTTGGGTACCTGACTTTAGATGATTTCGTTAATTTACCACCTGAACGAAGAAGAATTGTGTGCGAAGCTATAAGGACAATATGTGGGTTTTAGTTAAATATGCTAGTTTTAATGTAGTTTGATATTTTGGTTTTAGTTGTTTTAATTGTCGGGACGACATTACTTTTAGGAGGGGAGAATGTGATAGTGTGGAATTTTGATTTTTTTAATTATATAATAGGTTTTAGTCTACACTGCACTACACTGACAACAGCTTAATAAACAATAACAAACTTTCACTTTCATCTGATCTTTGAACCCTTATATTCATAGTCACTGGATGTTCAGCTTCTGGACAGGTCTTTGTAACAACATCAGTGACTATCACCTCATCATCTCCTTGGATACTTTTCCTAACAAACCCAACTTCCTGGGTTACAGTGGTAACAATTGAAATCAGTTTAACTTAGGATTTTAAATGTGTCAGATGTATAAGATTATCTTCTAAATCTTAAATTTGTATTTGTGCTCAAAGTTTTATAAGTTGTTCCAGTTACTGAAGATTCTTTTGGTCAAGTCTTCATTCATCGAATTAAGGTATGTGTATTTGAATATGATTGGTATTGTCTGTAAGATGTGTAAATTAGTTATTTCATATATTATTCTTTACATACACAGTAAAATACATTTATACATATTCAACAGCTCTTAAGCGATAAGTATTAACATTTAGTAATTAGGTTTAGTTTAAGTTTAGTTTTAGCATAGAATAATCATAGAATCATTTGTTTATATAGGATACCTTCTAGCTGCTAGAGTGTTACATGGTTGTGTTGTTTCAACACAAAGATCTTTAAAACCCCTTCTAGGGTATGTTATTTTATATAGGTATTATCTAATAATTATAGAAATTATTACTGTAAAGATATGAGTATAGAATTAAATATATAGTATAATTATAATACAGTGTAATGTTTGATGTGTTTTAAAGTGTATTATATGTATTATAAATTAAATGTTGGTGCTGTTAATGCTATGTATGTATATTTTTACAGGGTTTTTAATAAAGATTTAAACAGCCTCGTCTTTTGCTTGAATTAGACCCGGTTACACTAATAGTAATTTAGTAATATAGTTTAGTTAGTATAATACTTAATAATAGTAATTCCAATAAGATTTCCAATGCTTTAAAGCTAACGCTCTAAAATAGTGCATTCTACGGTTCATAAAAATGGCTTAATTGGAAACTTTAGTGTTCACATTTTTCTTTTTAAAATTTTACTATGAAAGTGCCACGCCCATTTTTTTAAAGTAATAAATGTTGGTACATAATATATTTTTTATTATTTTTTTTCCTGATAGTTGTACTTGAGAAAGCTACTGGAAATTTTGTGACAACCATCTGAAATATATGAAGTTTTTAAACACACAAAGACTGTATTTTTTAAATCAGTATTTTTTTTATATAAAGGTCTTTAAGACAGATTTTCTTTAAAAAAAAAACAAACCCCAAAACTACTTTTAAGTTATGAACATATTTTATTTATGTGTGTGTGTGTGTGTGTGTGTGTGTGTGTGGGGGGGGGGTCCTTAAACCCAAAGTTGTGATATAAGGATTATATACACATTTTTCATTCTTTTGCCCTTCAAATCAAATTGATTCATTAAAAATATTTCTAAAAAAAAAAATATTCTCAATATTTATTAAACCCCTTTTCATTTCATTTGCTTTTATCATTGTCATTAGTGAGGATCCAACCTCGTGCGTTTTCTCCATGTCCTCCGGTTTCCTCCCACTGCTAAAGACCCCTACGCGCAAGTGAATTATTGAAGTGAAATATGCAGATAGGGTGATAGGGTTATTTATTTTGGAATGGCATATTATTGTATTTTAAAGGTGTTAGGTTTAAGAATTTGGGGGGAGAGGTTAAGTCTCCACATAAGCACTGACCTAGGATGATGAAAAATTAATTCGTGATATTTCCTAGTTTTATTAAAATACATACAATACTTTAGATTTATATACAAAGGCGATTTCACTGTTTATTGGTGTTGGTGGTGCTGATGGTCTTCCTTGGGTGGTGCTTCTGGTATTCTGGTATTATTGTTTCTGAAGAAAAAAGAAAATAAATTTGAGGCTCTCGGGAGAGAGCCACATTAGTGTGTTTCCTACAACGGATTGGATTTTCTAAAAAAAATCGTGTTTGTTCCACATCACCGGGTTACGGCTAGGGATTCTTATATCTAATTGATTTTAATTACTAACGGTTAGGCATAGGATTTGATATATGGTTTGTTTTGGGTCAGGGTGGAGACTGGTCTTATTTAATCTAATTTACTGTGCACTAGGATGTCGTTCAGATTTTTATTTTTAGAATATGCAATTATAAGTTTCTGTGTGAATATTTTCGGGTGATTTTCTTGGAGATCAGTATAGTGTTTTCTGATGATTTTGGACGCACTTGCTGCTGTTGCGCTAAATGGAACTACAAAAGGAGCTATTGCGCTAGCCGTATGAATATTCAAACCTAGGGGGGCTGTTGTTTTCAATTTGTCAATCCAGAATTTTTCTCTTGTTAGCCTAAACGTTTTAATTTCTTCTGAAGTTTCAAAGTCGCTCTTGGTCTTTTCTATTGGCGTTACAATGAGATCAGAAATGTCATGATTTGGCTGGTTGAAATGAATTGAGACAGGTTTGTCTTTTTTGGTGACTATGTCAGACCGGTGACCGTTAATTCTTTCCCTAAGTGCATTTTGAGTCTCCCCTACGTATTGCTTGTCACATTTTCTGCATGAGATTAGATAAATTATGTTTGAACTACTGCATGAAAGTTGGTCTAATATTGGGAATTTTGTGCCAGATGTTTTGTTATGGAAATGGTCGAATATGTTTAAGATTTTGCATGTTTGACATCTTGGATGGCCACAAATTTTGGTTTTATGTACTGATTGTATATTATTTGTTTCTTTGGCGGCAAGCTCAGCTAGAGTGTTGTTTTTTATACGTCGTAGATAGCGTTTGGAGTATCCCCTTTCCCTTAGTTTGCTAAATACCAATGTACATGCTGACTCAAAGTCGGTCTTCTGAGTACATATCCTATGAAAACGGAGAATCTGAGATTTTATGATGCCAGAGAATGTATGTTTTGGGTGAAAGGAGCTTTTGAACAATAATTGATGTGTGTCGGTTTCTTTGAAAAATACTTTAGTTTCCAATTGGCCTGTGATTTTGGTGTTGTTACTTTTAAAAACGGTAGTATCAAGGAAATCTATGCTGTTATGGCTTACATTTGCGGTTAATTTGACAGATGGATGATGATTGTTCAGAATGTTGAAAAACGTCCAAAATTCGTCTAGTGTGTAGGTCCAGACTATGAAAACGTCATCTAAAAACCGCCCATAGAAATCTGGTTTTAATGGACAGAGTGGCAGAACTTCCCTTTCCCACTCCGCCATGAAGAGATTTGCATAACTCGGGGCAAATCGTTTTCCCATCGCAGTTCCGGAAGACTGAAGGTATACTTGGTCGTTAAAAGCGAAGTCATTCCTCCTCAGACAAATGTTGAGTAGTTTGAGGATTGAACACAATTACCATCATGATTTAAATACCATGAAAGAAAAATTAGAAGATGCCACCAATAGGCTGGAAAACACGTACAGTCCACCAACTTGCCTTAAAGTTACAATTTCATATTTTTAAGTTATATTTTTAAAATGTATTAAAATAAAGCCCTAAAATAGATGGCATCTATAAACAGTCCTACCTTGTTAAAGAATAATCCTATAATTCACTATTGCCAGTTGAGAAATTGGCAAAAATATCATTTTCAACTTCAAATTCAAACGTTTGAAGATAGCTATTCCATGCTGGGGGATAGGAAAACAAGGGAAGTAATTGGGAGGTAGCCCAGCATAGGAGCAGAACAGTAGGACGTTAAACCTCATTTCATTTCATTTCAGATGGTTATTTTGCAATTTGGATTGAAAAGGTACATCGTCCACCCGAGTGTAGTCTCATTTACCCTTTTCTTTTATTTATAGATTGTTTCAAGACAAACCTCTTCAAGCAAAAGGGACAGAGTAGATGTAGAGCCCTCAAGAGTTATAGAAGAAAGATCATCTCCATCATAGTTACCATCCATTGAACACAATTACCATCATGATTTAAATACCATGAAAGAAAAATTAGAAGATGCCACCAATAGACTGGAAAACACGTACAGTCCACCAACTTGCCTTAAAGTTACAATTTCATATTTTTAAGTTATATTTTTAAAATGTATTAAAATAAAGCCCTAAAATAGATGGTATCTATAAACAGTCCTACCTTGTTAAAGAATAATCCTATACTTCACTATTGCCAGTTGAGAAATTGGCAAAAATATCATTTTCAACTTCAAATTCAAACGTTTGAAGATAGCTATTCCATGCTGGGGAATAGGAAAACAAGGGAAGTAATTCGGAGGTAGCCCAGCATAGGAGCAGAACAGTAGGACGTTAAACCTCATTTCATTTCATTTCAGATGGTCATTTTGCAATTTGGATTGAAAAGGTACATCGTCCACCCGAGTGTAGTCTCATTTACCCTTTTCATTTATTTATAGATTGTTTCAAGACAAACCTCTTCAAGCAAAAGGGCCAGAGTAGATGTAGAGCCCTCAAGAGTTATAGAAGAAAGATCATCTCCATCATAGTTACCATCCATTGAACACAATTACCATCATGATTTAAATACTATGAAAGAAAAATTAGAAGATGCCACCAATAGACTGGAAAACACGTACAGTCCACCAACTTGCCTTAACCAAACGCAGAGAAAAACGTGCATAAATGGTAATTGGTAGTGTTGTTACATGATGAAAAGAAATTATCAGAAAAGGCTCAACAAATGATTGATTGATATAAAGGTTTGACTTTACATATACACATTGCGTGTACCTTTTTAGAATAACTGAGTCTTATGGTGATATTTTAAAGTATTTGTTGTAACAGAATTTAAAATCACACAAGCTATAGAACAATAAGAGCTTGTTATTTCTTTATTATTTTATCATAGATAAGGAACTAATTGGTGGGGCTTAACCGTGCAATACTAGACATCTTCATTATTATTGCACACTTTTGCTGATTTATGCTAATTTTAGTAGAAATCATATTGAGAAGTGGGGTGGGTTTTCTGTGCAATAACAACGAGCATGATCAGCAGGTGCCAATGTTACAAGTCATTTATAGCACGCTTCATTCATCATATTCATATATTTCTCTATTCTGTATACTTGTAGGTGGCTGAGTAACATAAACCAGGTCTCTCTAGTCAAGTTATAAACATGCTTCAGCAAAAAGTTCAAAGTGATGAATGGACCTACAAACACCGCAGTCTGATGATTGATGGCATGTCCATAAGAAAACACATTGATTGGGATGCAAATAACGGTCAAATGGTTGGTTTTGTTAATTTAGGTTCTGGACCAGTTGAAAATGATGCAGTTGAGGCACGTGAAGTCATAGTGATACTAGCTGTTGGTTTACAAGGTCACTGGAAAGTACCACTAGGTTATTTCCTTGTTGATGGAATATCAGCAGAGATACAAAGCCAGCTTCTTTTGACAGCAATATCATCACTTTACCAAATTTGTATTAGAGTAACATCTATTGTGATGGATGGGCATCCAACCAACCAAAGAATGGCAAACATTTTAGGAGGCAATTTAAACCCTGACAACATCAGAAGTACTTTCCAAGATCCATCTAATCCATAATTAAACATATATATATATATTCTTTGATGCTTGTCATCTTCTCAAAAACTTCCGTGGAGCTCTCCATTCTCTTCAAAAACTGCAGGAAGAAACTTTTGGTACAGCAAAGTGGTCAGACATAAAAAGACTTGAGGAATTACAACGAAATGAAGGCTTAAGAGCAGCTATAGGCTAACAAAGAAGCACATAGAATTTACCAATCAAAAAATGAATGTTAAATTAGCAGTATACAAGTTTTAAGTAGTTCGGTTGCTAATCCCTAGAATTTGCTTCTTCAGTCTGTGAAGATTTAGGAAATTGTCAAAGAACAATCAATCTTGTTGCCATGGTTGATCGAATGTTCGATATTTTCAACAGTAGAACGCCAGCTGCAAAAGGTTTTAAGCATCCCATTAATGCAATTTTTTTTTAGTCTTTTGAATCCTTTTTGTTATCCACCAGTTCTGTACTATTAAACTTAAAAGACATGACTGGTCAGAAAGTCTGCCATGGAAAAAGAAAGATATGTATCATTGGTTTCTTGTGTAACAATCAAAGCCGTCTTGGTCTTGCAAGAGAGATGATTTTATCAAATCCACAGCACTGAAATACTTGTTGACTTAAAAATTGTCACAAGATCACCTTGAGCTACTTTTTTCTGCCATTAGGAGATATGGGGGATAGAACAACAATCCATCTGCAGTACAATTTTCGAATGCATATAGATCTCTACTAGGTCATGTTGGTGTAAGCGGAACAATCGATTGCAACACCTCATGTGTACCACAAGACATAACCTCTATCTTGGAAGTCAACAACACAGAAATAATTACCTTTGAAAATGCTTTTGCAGACCATGATTATCCCATCAATGGCAGAGGTATCAGTTCATTTGTAGAGGGTTTCCTTGAAAATATAGCTGGCTGGGTTGTTAGAATATTGATGTCTAAAGTTCAGTGTGTGCCCTGTGCCCATGCCTTAGTAAAACCTAAAACTGATACCAAATATGGGCTTCTAAATATAACAAACAATGGAGGACTATGCATTCCATCAAATGATGTTATCCAGATTGTTCGACAATGTGAAGTTATACTCAGATCTTTTGTCAATATCAAATATGTTAAACCAAATGAATGGGAAAATGTTGTTGTATCTAAAGTTATGATGAATTTACCTTCTACTTTATTCTCTCATCCGAATGATCATTTCACAGAAACATGTAAAGGAATAGACACGCATTATTATAATTTGTTGAAATTAATTTGTAGTCAGTTCATAAAGTTAAGAAGATTTCATGTGGTGAGATTAACTAATTTAGCACTACAGGGACAATGTGTAAGACAAAAGTTAACAAGAACTGTACTTTTCCAAA